CTCAGGTTTATTTCGGTAAAGGTAAGAATGAAGTGTCATTTATTTCTTCTAAAAATCCATGGATAATTGATTCAGGGGCAATCGATCATATGACTAGTGACTCATCTCAGTTCACCTCTGTTTCCTGTCCATCTCGTCATTCAGTTCAGGTTGCAGATGGAACTCTCACTCCAGTTCAAGGGGTTGGTTCCCTATCACTTTCGTCTACTTTACCTTTATCTTCTGTTTTGCATGTTCCTAACCTCTCTAATAGTCTTCTCTCTATCAGTCAAATTACCAACAGTTTAAATTGCTTAGTAACCTTTTTTTCTACTCATTGTATCTTTCAGGATCATCTCACGGAGATGACGATTGGTACTGGTAAGGAGAGAGGGGGTCTCTACTACTTGGAGGGGGTAGGGCAATCTCAAATTCAATATGGCCGTGGTTTTCAGGTGACTGGAAATCCAGTTTTAGATCGAAAAAAAATTCAGCTATGGCATCGCCGTTTAGGACATCCCTCTTTTATCTATCTAGAACGCTTATTTCCGCATCTATTTGCTAATGTTTCAGTTTCTAGGCTTCGATGTGAACATTGCATTTATGCGAAAAATCATCGGGTCTCATTTCCACCAAGCTTTAATAAAAGTACTACTCCTTTTTCTCGTATTCATACTGATGTATGGGGACCATTTTCTACTCCTACTTCTTCAGGTTGTCGATACTTTATATCTTTCATTGATGATTGCACTCGAGTGTGTTGGATTTATTTGATGACATCTAAAAGTGAAGTTAGTATTATTATTCCTAAATTCCATCAACTAATCAATACTCAGTTTCATGTCCAAATTCAGGTTTTTCATTCTGATAATGGACGTGAGTTTGTCAATCTTTCTCTTACTGAGTTCTTCCAGCAGCATGGCATTATCCACCAGACAACTACGGCTTTCACACCCCAACAGAACGGTATAGCAGAGCGTAAGAACCGCCATCTTCTCGATGTGGCTCGGTCCTTATGCTTTACTATGCAAGTTTCGAAACAGTTCTGGGCTGATGCTGTCATGACTGTTGCGTTCCTCATTAACAGAATGCCTACTCGTATGCTTGATTATCAAACACCCATCAAAGTATTGTCTCACTTCCACTCAATCCCTTCATTACTTAATTTGCCTCCAAAAATCTTTGGTTGTCTTTGCTATGTCCATGTTCATTCTCTTCACAGGGACAAATTAGATCCACGTGCCCTTAAGTGTATCTTTCTCGGATACCCCCCATCTCAAAAGGGATATAAGTGTTTTCATCCTCCTTCGGGTAAGACATATGTGTCTATGGATGTTGAATTTTGTGAACAGGAATCATATTTCTCAGGGGGAGTCACAACTTCCCCTCTTCAGGGGGAGATTTG